GACTTTTCTCGAAATTTCCCTCCCAAATTTTTTCGCAGATGACTTCGCATGTGCTCTCTGTGGTAGAATAGGTGTTAAGTATGCTCAACAATGTTTGGAGTTAAAAGTTAGATTAAAAACTTTGTTTGATTATCTCGAATTCTATGCCACTTTGTCAGTTCAACCCACTAATTATAAAAAAGCAGAGGCGCCATCGTCAGCTAGAGCAATCGGTAAGCTTGCTTTTAAGCTTTTTTGTGGTTATAACGAAATAAATTAGACAAACGCGTTTAAATACTTTGGATATTTTCTGTCTTCTAAACTCGGGTGGGTTAAGATGTTAGATAGTTATAAGGTTAAAATTCGTCAAAGAATAGCAATAGTAAAATCCTGTAAGATATTTGATACATCGAGTCCTCAGTTTCGAAGTATGCTTTTTTTCTACCTATGTCCTGCCTCTTTCTATTTGACTTTTTCTTATCTTTCCTCTTCTTACGGCTTGTCAAAGAGACGGATTATCTCATTTTTATATTACATGCTTAAAGCGTGTATTTTGTTGTACTCATTGGAATAATTATCTTTTTTCTTTTTTGTATAATGAAATTTCTCTGGAAAATGGATGTTATAATTATTGGCAAAAATTTGTTAATGCTCTCTTTTGCTCCACTGATGGGTTTATTTTGTTGAATCCATGTTTTTTAAACGTTTTTCGTCAGCAGTGGCTTTGTACTGATTCTTCTATTAGTAGTATGTATCGCTCAAAGCGTTTTTTGTTTCTCATACGTCTGCTATACAATGATGTCTTTCTTGATTTGCTGATAACAATATGAACTCTATTCCTGATATGTCTGTCGACGAGTCTGATTTGTTCTTTTCGTTTCCTGAATCCTTTTTATAAAATCTAGTATTCTCCTTATGTTTGTACCTTTTGACCACATGAAAGGTCATACTCCGGTGTGTTATCTTCAATTTCTGCGTATTGTATCTTCCTAATCATTACATAATTATTTTATTGTATACATTCTTGTTGTATTAAAAGGGCTTATAAGGGCATTAATATATTTAAATAAAGAAGAAGAATAAAATAAAATAAAATTTGGACAGATAACGAACAGAATCAAACAAAACTCAGTTGCAGATTTCTGAAAAAGTGAAAGTTGTTCGGTTCTGTTCGTTATTTATCAAAACTTGATTTAGTGTAGCATTAGCTACTGTTAAAAACAATTGAGTAATTTCTAATAATACCATCAATAATCATTCTAAAAAGTTATACAAGAATATGTTTAAATAACTGAGTCAGAAATTTGGGAACATTAACACGTTAAACGACACAAATAGCTTGATGTTTTCAATTTTTTTTCTCTATGTTTGCAATTGATCTATCAACAAAATTTATTGGTTAGGACCGATTCCTAAACATTTTCAACTCCCCGTTCTTTGAAATATTTTTTTCTCGCTAAAAATGCAAAATCTATTTTTACAACACTGATGTTTTTGCGATAACAGCATATATTGTTTATATTCGTTTCTTTGACCACAAAAGATCCCATAAAAAAACTACAGCAAACAAAACCAAAAGAATCGTAGAAAATAAGAAATGATAAAATAATTAAAATGGAGGTTGTCCTAAATATCGTGTAGTTTCAAATTGTTATCATTTGTATAATTTAATATTTGTTAAAACAATGTATGAAACCAATTTTCAACCGTCTGTAGATTGATCTCTATTTGCAAAACTACTTATAGCGGGAGAAAACAAGGAGAAAAAGAATCAGCCATCACATGAACAAACAGATTCCATCAACAGATAATGTATGATGATAAATAAACTCAAATAAGAATCAAAAAAGGAAGCTAACGTGTTCCAGCTTTCTACGTTTATTAAATAACTGAAAAACATGTTTATTATTCCAGTGTTATATTGCATATTCTTCAAAAAAAATCAAAATAGATGTTGAAATTCAGTCTATGATGATAGCGTTGTACAGCGGTCTCTAGAAGAATTCCACTATCAATTGTTGTTCGCAGTGAATTCATAAATTTTTTCAATGTGCTCGGTAATGATTCACAAAAGTATTTTCCTGAACTATTTATATTCATTTTGAGTAAAACTCTAAACTATCAAAAGAAAAAGCTAACCGTTTTAATAGATGTAAATATTATTGAGAGTATTCAATTCCTGTATGTATGATTAATATACATTCCAAACTATTTGCAAAATAGTTGGAGAATGCTATCATGAGAAATGTTCATCTATTACAATTGTATGTAATGTACAATGTGAAGATGATCAATCATTTTAATGCTGAATTTGAAAAAATATTTTCAAAAAGTTAGAAGAACGAAAAAGAAAAGAATAAGAATTTTTTTGAAACTGAAGGATCCTTCGAAATTTTAGACGTAGAAATTTTTCCAATTTTTTCTTCTTTAAAAAAATTAAAAAAGCCACTTTTTCTTAATCAGCTCGAAGCGTTCTATCCAATCATGTATAAATAAACGGAAAAACACATCCTGCTCGAACTTTGAATTTCCGACGCCTTAGAAACGTTGTTTGATAGAGAACAGTGAAAAAGAGTTCAACATTGCCTTAATAATTTTTTAATTTGATCTTAGTAGACGTTTTAGATTTCAATCTAATTGAATATTCTAATATATTTCTAATAGTTTTATGAACTTTATTATATTCTAACCAAGGAGAGTAGCTTCTTTTAATGGTTCCACATTGCAATATCAACTTTTTACATAAAAAATTAACTTAATTCTGATATACGTTCATGGACTTTCTTTGATCGAATGTTTTGTTTGAAATTTTCTTTTGATGTTATATGGTGTGTTATCGATCAAAATGTTTTCATATCTTCTAGAATTTAAGAATTACTTTCTAGAAGTTTCGGACATGTTAGCTTTTGATCCATCTCATATATGACTTTTTTGAACAATAAACTATTTTGCTGAACATCAAGTTAATATAAAAACTCGATAATATAGTCTCTAATAGATTTATCCTTAAAATGTTGTAATAAATAATCTGCTCAAATATTTTAGAAAGATGAAATAGTAGAGTTATTAGACAATAATTTAACAGCACTATTGGAGCACTAACTTTGTTACAATCAATGGTGCAAAACAATTCAAAAACTTCTGTTCCATGAACTCGAAACGTAAACATTGCATGCGCACTCGGTTTAGGTTTTTTTGGGATATGTCATAAACGTCTACGGTAGGCATCACTCAAGGGGAAAAAAGCATCACAAGGCGAGTGGACCTATTCCAGAATACCATTCCGTGATGATAATAATAGTTGTAAGAGAAACTACAAGCGAAAGCAAATCTTTCATTTTGATACATTGCACGTTTTTTCTTCTTTCTGTATGTATATTCAATATGTGCACGGTCTAGCGTGTGTTACCACCCATGTACTAAAAATCGCATAAAGATCGGCAATTAATCGTGAAAAATTATACGATTAATCGTGAATAATTAACGATTTTGTTTCTAGGTACTAGGTTCGAACCCATCTTTGGAAATACATATCTTTTTCTGTTTTTTCATTGTTTATTATGTATAATGACATGTACGGTACGTCATTCAGCAACGGTCTTAGCATCAGCTCAAGTCGAGCCTTGCCGACAGGTTGATTTTAGATATTTCTCAGATACCAGTTGTTCACTGGACTCCTCGGCTTAAGACTCTAAGGAACCATAGAGAAGACTCTTGACAACTCCGCTTTACTCTAAAATAAAAAGATGATCTAAATAGAATTGAATTCCTCGTTGAAATCGTGTTTCTTATATACATATAGTAGCAATAAACAAAATAAATTCCGGTCCTTCCGATACCTTTATTTCATTACAGACTCAAAATTTTTGCTCGTATTTAGAACTAAAACAAAAAACTTTCTCACTTATTTTAGAATGCCAGTCCGCCATTCTAGGGCGACATTCTGCCATTCCGGAATGCCATTCCAGAAGTTTTTTATCCATTCCAGAATGTGCTTTTTACCCCTTGGCATCATTATAGTGCAAACATCTACAAAATGATTGTTCAGCAATTCAAACTTCTGAACTGGATCACATACGAGTTCATTATTTATTTTGTCTAGAAGAAGAAATTATTACAACATTGTCATCTAATGTTTGACCATGAATCAGGCTGAACCAATCAATATTGAATAGTTCCTGTCTGAACAACTCCCAATTAGTTGCATGATAATTGTAGATACAATGTGTATACTCTTTTACAGGTGTATTTATGAGTGAATAAGAAACTTGAACAACATGACGATCATATTCTGAATAGAGTTTAGAAAGTATATTTTAACCATAAATCTGTTTCACTTTTTGTTTCATGCCAATAATCCGTTTATTTTTTGCACGCATAAATATATTTTTGAATAAGAATACAAAGAATATTAAATGAATAAGTGTGTATAAGCTAAAAGGTACAATTAATCAAACACATTTCGAAGCTAATAACACAATGATTTGAATAAACAAATACAGCTCGTGTAGACTACAAAATGAACAAATGTGTAAACTACATTAAAACAAACGAATATGAAATAATATTTAGAACAGAATAAATTTGGATATTTAGAACAATTCCTTAAACAGAACAAAAATAAGCATATTTAATGCTTGTTTAAAATAATTTGGATTCGTTTCGTTAAAAAGCTTACCAATTTCAAGGATCATTTTTCTGCATTGAATATATTGCAATTTAGATTATCATCATTTTTATAAGAGCTAATCGCAGTGCTTCACAAAATAAAACTCAACTTACTTTCGTTAAAGAAAGGATAATTTTGAATTTGAGAATGGAAGTCATTTAAAATGGGACTAGATTGTTAAATGACTAGTTGTATTCAAATTCCACCTTTCAATACTTCATTGATTTAAATATACACTCGAACAAATGCTTCAATCTCTCTTCGACAGATTGGACAGGTTCTCAATGAGTGTCCACATGGTACACATGTTGCTGTAGAAGCGATAAGCAAATGAGAAAGGTCATATACGCAACTATCGAATGAATGTCCTTGATAAGAAATATTTACCTAGATGTCCACATGGAATACAGGCCAGATGTTTCTCCTCTACTAGACATAGCACACAAGCATTTGATACACTCTGTTGTTGTTTTAATTGTGGTTTTTCATCGTTCGTTTTGACAACATTTGATTCCGTTGAGGATGTTGAAGAAATTGACGTACATGACTCGTTTGTTAGCGAAGTCATCTCAGCATCACCTGTCATTAAGGAAGACGAGGTCGCTGACAATGTCACTGGTGGTATAATTTGAGATGAATTAGGTAAAGGTATAGTTTCCTCAGCCTTTTCTTTTTCTAAAAACACAAAAACAATTCGAATTTCTAACATGATTGATTTTGTAGATGTCACAACATACCCATTCTTTCTTTTTCCGCTTGTTCACGCAATTTTTTCATATGTACGCTTGGTATAATGATGTTTTCTTTCTTACCATCAATATGTTCAATTTGTTTTTGAAGAATTGTACATGCCAACAATAAATCGCAATCCATTGCAAAATCATCATCTAGATAAAAAGAGAAAATCTGTCACTTAGAAGCTTTTCCTACTCTTATTCTATTAGAGAACCTATGACTGTTCTTCGAATTAATCTAATTAAAAAATACTTACGTTTTAAACGCAATTGATCTTCATAACATCGTTTTATAATTGATAATTTAAAATCTTTACTCAATAAATGTTGCGATATTGGTAAATCTAATCGAGCAGCCACTAACCTTGACAATGTACTATCATCTGGTATTACCAATTGTCGACTATTTGAAGTAGATAAAGTTGTTGACGAATTCTCATTGCTATTGATAATGGAAAATCCTTTTGACGATGACAATAATTGTTCACTTGCTCGAGTTCGTTCTGAAACATGAGATAAAAGTGCAAAGAAGAATGTTTTTAAGTTTAAAGTAAAACAATAGGTTTACCTTGTGCAGCCCGTTTAGAGTCTTGAATTTTTCGATATAGATCATCACCACATAATTGTCTTGCGTATGCACACTGTGGGAACCAGCGAGCATGCTCAATCATTGGATTATCATTTTGTCCCCAATTTTGTAATGAACCATTGCAATAAAAGCATGTGACAATTGTTTTTGTTCCTGTATAATAAAAGCCAGATTTTACTAAATCATCAACTGATGGTAATGGTTCATTTGGCCATGTGGCAAACGAGGCATATCGTTTAGGAATTTCTGAATAAGCAATATTGCATGCTGCTGTTAAAACAATTTCATTACATCGCAAAACGTCACTACTATTATTATTATTCGTAGGATGACTTGTATCATTAGTTGGTACTGTTTGTGATGATTGACGACCGGTTTCATTTACAATACGTATGCTGTTTAATGAAGCAGTCTTTCTTAAAACTAATTTAACATAGGAACAATTTGGAGATAATATTTTATGAATTTCAACCGGATCATCGTTATGAGGTGTCCATTGTTGACAAATAACGTTGCAATAAATACATATAACACGATCACCAACATTACAATTAAAAAATCCAGCCTCGACCATTTGATTTCGAGATGGTGCTCGATGAGGCCAGTGAGAAAATGTTCGTTTACGAACTTGTCGAATAGTTTCTACTTCGGTAAAGTTTCGAAAAACAGCAGATGACGATGAGGTTATTGCATCTTGTTTTTGTTTATTAATGTTTTTTTGTGTTGTTGCGTCTACGACACATGTTGAAGTCTCAGTTTTTTGTAGTTTTTGTGGTTTAACTCCAGTGGGTGATATTGATTGATCTGATAGAGAGAAAAATATAAAAATGTTTGAAAAATGGTGTTTTCCAATTTACGAGAAAGGGAGTCCAACATACCTGATGGTGTTTTATATTGTTCACTCACGCCAGTAATGTCCTTCACATATGGACACGATGGACTTTGTCTTTTATGTTCGTCAAATGGAACCATTTCCTTCGTTAAATTAGGTATCTCAAGTTTACATTGAGAACATTGTACACGACCACCGCTATTCTCAATATACGTAAAACCAGCTGCTTGAATTATTGCTTCGGTGTGCGGTCTCTCAACAGTTAGTTTTTGTTGAATATATTCGACGATTAATTCAACATTGTGGAAAATACTTCCATTTGTGTTTTTATTTTGCTTTCCATCGAAAGTTGGTAACGATAACGACTCGATTTTTTTAAGAAACATTTTGTTTTTCGAGTAGTTCAAACTTTACATTTATACCGCATTTTAACCATTATTTAAAAATATTCTGTCCACGAACGAAAGTGGAAGAAATAGTGCAAGATATATCTAATTCTTGCTTATCTGGAGGAAACAATCATAGCATAAGTAACGAGACAGTAGTAGTTTAAGCACCCACTTACTTGCTTCTGATGTGAGGGTATTAATGATCCCTTACTACATTATAAAATCTATAAACCACCATTATCCTTCAAAATCGAAGACGATTATGAGCAGCGTGAGATATAAAGAAGTACTAGGAGTAGTTGACAGTATCAAGAACGTGCGTTCAAATCATATTATTAAGGGCCAGCATCAGCGATGCTGAAAATAATTAATTAAAATATTACTGACAACTGACTTTTGACTCAGAAGCTGTAGTGATGGGTCGCTTTGCTAAAGATAGAACGAACAGCGTAGACTTGATCTGAGTTAAGTTATTACAGATAATTTCCAAGCCTTATGAGAATTTGCTTTTACGCTATATATTTCTTCACACATTGTATGTGCGATTAGACGTGTCAGCCGGTAAGTCGCCGCTGAATGTGGAAAACTTTGCAGATGCCCATAGAATGAATGGCACGTTCGCTTAAGTTAGGTAAGGTCAGGAGATTGAACAAAATTGCGCTATACCCATGTAGTAAAGATTCACTCTCTCGTTTCTTCAATAAAACGTGTTTAATGAACAACACAGTATTTTTAAGAGAAAGTGATGATATACAAAACTTAAAAATTATAACACCGGTCAAGGCCAAAGACTTATTTGGCGTCAATACGTTTCATCGTTGTCTAATTCAGCGTGTTTGGGTGCAAACTGTAACCACTGTATCGAAGTTCCTCTATCAATGTTTGTTCCATCAACCGCACCTACTTCGACGCTAAAGATGAGAGTGAGTGAAGCCACAATGTTGCAAACATTTACCTTCAACGTTTGTGTGACAGCGAACTTGCGGAACAAACATGAACACATACTCATTTAGCTGTTAGATTTTGCTGATGTGGTATAAGTGTTTTTTTGATTTTTGATAGAAATCAATATTTTTATTACCTGACATTACCTAACCTAAGAGTATTAGATAATGTCAGAGAATTTCCTCACATTTGCATTCACGGCTCATTCTTAGTCATGTAATTGAGTGTTATTTCTGTGGACAACATGGCTAGATGGTTATGTTGTAACTCACGTACTTCAAAAGTACTATGTTCGAACCTCGACGCCGGCAAAGTCATATAATAACCTTGGGCAAGTTACTTATGTCTTGGTGCCTCGGTTCACCCGTCCGATAGCATACTCACTATGTTATGACGTGCAATGTAGATTCTCTATCTAGTTTGCGTAGCTCCTGGGAAAGCTAGCACATGGTTAGTGAGTGTGTTCAGGTAATTGGACGAAAGAACTCCGCATCAGGCTAGCCTTCTGATTAGAACTGCAGTTGCTGTCTAGTAACAAGGTGGGTGACCATTTCAGAAGCTTGTCAACAGCTGGGAAGATATGGGACTAGTGAAACTGCCATTCGGCAGCACCCTATACCGGTAACGATAGCTGCAAGCCGGGGTATTCTTCCTTCTGTGATGATGGTGCAATATTAAACGAGAGTGCTCCATCGACTTCCTTTCACCACGCAGTATAATTGCTGCAACTTCGAAGTCAATGTGTGCTGTGAAACTCTTATCATTTTTCAATTTTGTATATGTACTATAAATAGAGTTTTTAGGAAAAATACAAGTTCTCACACAGTCCTTACAGATATATACAAGGAAAAAGTCCACGTACCCAGTTGAGGAAAAATTAACCATGGTTTCTTTTTCGTATATCTTTTTTACTATTAACGCTAAAGAGTCAATTCAAACGCTATTCGAAAGGGCAGATATTTTTGAACATTATTGCATATAAAAATAAATACTACAAGACTGTTCAAACTTTTTAAAAACGATTTTCCTGCTTTGTGATCAAAATCTCGATTTTCGAGTTAGATGTGGCACAATATACAAGTGCCCCGTATATAATGAGATGCCTCTCAATTCTCTATGACGCTCCCTTTCCCAGTTAAACATTTTTTAAAATATGCCACTGGACATTCAACATCAACATGACGAATTTAAATTTCCAGCGAATAGTGTTTGAATTGACTCTCTAGCATCAATAGTAAAAAAGATGCAGCAAAAAAAAACTCACGGTTTATTCCCTTCTCGATATATTTTAAATTGTGTTGGTTTTTTCCAACTTACGCTCGTATATATTGTGCAATAGTGGAAGGAAAGAATATTCTCATTGCCTGACATTTTATTTTTTCTCTTTAGATTATATTTTCTCCATTATACAAATATATATAAACATGTTGCTACTAAGTGTTTTTTGTTCTGTCACATCGATAAAACAGTGGGCTTTGCGTATGAAGCAGAAACACACATTCGAGAAATGAGGGCGAATGATTAGAAAACTAAGCTGTAGGATTTGTCAAATTTCAAATTCTAGAAAAAACAATTGCTTGAGTCTTTGAGTTACAAAATAAACAAAAGCAAAATTTGAAGTAAAAAACAGCAAAAAAAGTAAGATATCTAGCAACAATGTTTAATTCTGATTCATACGCCGTTTGAACAGAATCATCTCATTTTCATCGGTTTTCAAAGAGTAGGAATGAGGCAATATGTACACTAGATCATTTTTCTGCAGTACGCATATTCTTTGCTTAACTCCAGCCCAGTCGATCCACTATTTCTGCGATATTTTTCCTCCACGGCCATCAAAGCAAACGGGTATATTCTACACTTCTAGGAATAAATAATTTCACTCGGAGTCCCTACGATATTTTAGGCGTTCCCTCCGAGCAAATTCCGTTTTCGAAAAAACACGACTTTTGAGAACTCCTGAAGGATTCACGCGAGGTCGCTAGAAAGCAATCATGCAGATCTCTCAACAGTAAAGAGTTATTCACCGTTTTGTTTGAAAAAAAAATTATAAAAATACCAGACTTTTTGCAATAGAACTTGCAAAAATTTTCTCTGGATAAGCGATCAATAAAGTGTTAGAGAATGTCACTATAACACTGTTAGTGACGGCACGACCTACGAGTACAAACTTTGGAGGAAAAAGGGTATAAAAATTTATGAAAGTTTCAAATTTCAGGAGCCTCAGTTGAAAACACGCAGGATTGGATATCGATTAGGATGTCTTATTTTTGCAGAAGAAAGCACTCAGGTCAGGCCGTACGCACATGTGGCATTCTGTACACAACATGTGTCATCCGTATTTACTGTACAAAATGCATGTGATGCGTACAATGCGCACCATATACTATTTTTAGAGGTTTATCATCGATGTCAGATAAACATGTTACTATGGAACCGTAGAGAGAGAACATCCGATCACGCTCGGTACGCGCACCGTGCATACACGTTCGCTATACGTACCAACCGTGAAGGACATCAAGTGTATGTGACGTACAGAGTGTGACATACGCGTACAACTACCGTACCGCCCGATCTAGGAATTTAGAGATAAGTAAACTCTACGGTTACGATAAGTTAGGCGGAAATATAGTTGACCTCTAATCCACTGTCAAAAATTCAGTCCTATCAAGTAGTGTAAGAAGTCGTTTCAACCGTCTGAATCTCTACACTAGGTCATACATCTCGTTAATTATTTTTCGGCGAATGATACATCTGAATTTTTTTAATTGGTTGCGTTTAGCGAATGGGATTCACGACTTTCGATGCGTCTTCTTCAGTCGCTCGACAGGTGTCGACAGTCTGAACTGCACTCCAGGATTTAACTGCTTTCAACGAGAGTGTATTTAGGTCAAGATAAGGCTTCGTTCACACTACAAAAGTTAACTCAGTGTTAGAAAAAATGATTGGTAGAAAAGTTAACTCATGTTTTCGGTTGTCCCTAAAAAAAAGAAAGGAAAGTCATTGTCTAAGATAAAAGCACATTGTCCTAGACAATGACTTTTCCTTTTTTTAGGGATCACCTGTTTTTGACATCATTTAACTTTAACTCCCTTCCCCAATCATGAACAAGGACACTGACCAATAATAAGGTTCCATTAGACAACGATGTGGCTCCAGTTCAGTGGTAAAGCAACAAACATCTGATTTTCTACTCATTTCTCTACATGAGCTGAGAAAGGCAACTGTAGAACGCAGATTCAAGGGGTTAACTCTGAAAAATTTGTAGTGTAAACGTCGCCTAACTTTAACTCTTCAGTCATAAACGAGCTCAGTAACCAAAAATATGGTTCCATAAGACAAGGGCGGCAGCGCTGGTTCTGTGGGGGAAATAAACATTTGGCTCCCTACTCAATTTTTTTGTTTGAGCTTAGAAAGGCACCTGTAGAACGTAAATTCAAATCGGCCTGCTGTTAGCAAGCCAAAACCTTTGAGAGTACTGAAGCCAGGAAGCAGCACAATTTTAGGGGAAATGTCAAATCTTATTGATGTATTAAAGGTTTAGATATGAATACTCTCAAACTTTGAGTTAACTCAGAAAAATTTTCTAGTATGAACTTAGTCTGAGCCTTCATTAATTTGCACTTTTCGCCATTGCAAAAAATTGCACCCTCATAAAAAATATTATCTCTGTTTTGTTATGATTTCATTGGTTGCTGTATCGTTTCTGTCCGATTTGATGTAGCCTTGAATATCGTCAGACCTGATTCTTTGAAAAAAAAGAAAAACAAATTTCCGTGTATTTTTTTGTGGGTTAATCTTTCGACAAAGGACAGGGATGCGTTTCAGCGAGAATTGGCCCAATCGGAATTTTTTCATTTCCAATGCCCGAATTTATTAGAAAAGTCACGTTTCTATTCTTCTCTGTCATTCCCGAGAAAAAAGTAAGTAGTCTTTTTTTACATTGATAATAAAATAAGTTTATTTGTACCAAAAGGCTTAACAATTGTGTAAGAAAAACAGCTCGATTTTATAATTCATAGATAAAAAAAGAAAACGATAAACGTTAGTAGTGA